GCAAACTGCATGTCATTGATTATTCCTGAAATCTGGTGTAGCCACGCAGCCCTGAGGACAGAGTGGCTTTTAGCTTTAAGGACACAGTTGCTGTAAAGTGGCAGTATTTAATGAAGAGGTCAAGCTGGGAGTAATGTGTATATAGGCTCTCTCCTTCCTGGTACGGCTTGTGCTATTATCTCGTGGCATTCATTATGGGAGTCTCTTATGCTGTAAGTGCTGGAATAAAGGATCAGGTTACCATATCGGCATTGTTGAGAGGAGCTCGTTGAGCGTTTGAAAGTGTCCGGCTCTCAGAAAAGTCAGCTTCGTTTCCTGTCAGTGTGTGACTTTCCATTGCTGGATAGGAGAGGCTCTCCCTCCTCTCTGACCTCTCCCTCCTCTCCTGTGCACATTTTGTGTTTGCTCAGAATGAAATGAGACGTGGTGATTTTTCTTTTTCCAGTCCTCTGGTTCAGCTGATTTCCACCCATCAGCAATTCTATTGTCAGCCTGCAGAATATATATTCTTATTTGATGGCTCTTTATATGTCGTAGGACAGAAACGCACTGTGCAGTGTATGCGTGCAGATAATATCTAGACCTTGGAAATCTCCATTCAAACCTTTTTACGGATGCACTTGTATGAAGTGCCTTTTAAAAGTTTAAGTGAATCTTTTCAATCATGTTTGGATAACAATGCGTGAGATCCCCTTCATGTACACTATGCGGCCACCTGACCATCACACCTACATGAGCTTGTTGGACATCCCATTCCAAAACTATGGGCATTAACATAGAGTTGTCTCACCATCCTTTTGCAGCTTTAAAAGAGAACTATGGGGTAAGTGTTTTTTCCCCATAGTTCTCTTTAGGGTCACAGGAGGACATACACTAGCGCCCTCCCTTGACCCAAACCTCAGTATATAGCGGGCTATTGCCGGCGATATACTTGTGAGCGCCACAGCCGGGATTGATCCCGACGTTACTGTCGAGATCCACCCAGCTGCGTGAGTGACAGTCGGCTCTGCCTATATAGAAGCAGAGCCAGCTGTGCCGCCTCCTCCCCGTTCGTTCCTCCGTTCAGCACTGGAGGATCGGAGGGGGATCCCTGTCAGGATCGGTGACTGACAGTCACCGCTCACTGCAGGGAGACCATCGGGAAGTGAGCAGATCGGTGCATGTCTCTGCTCATTTCGATAGAGCCGACCTGTGACGGCGTCTTTGTAACAGGTCGGCCCTAACTATGAGGATGAGTGGAAATTACTCACCTCATAGATTTTCTTTAAGGTTGGATTCATACCAAATCCTTTGGGGCTGTGTTTTCCAGCACTGCCCCAATCTAAGATGAGGCAGTTTGCTTTGTCACAAATGGGCAGAGTTTACATTTTTCTTAGTGAAGCGGTACTACTGCATCGCACCTCCCCCATATAATAATGAAGTGTCACCACTTTTCAATAAAGTTATAACAAAAAGAGTAAACCGTGTGAGGCGCCTGGATCATTGTGGCGCAGCCACTGGTGTGAACGCTGCCTTAGAGTTTCCACTCTTCTAGCAAGGATTTGCACAGTTAGGCCCCGTTCACACCTGACCGTTTTGTAGCGCGTCCTACACTCGACGAACGCGCTACAAAACGGTCAAAAAAAATAAATAGCATTGTAGTCAATGCCCTCGTTCCCACCTAGGCGTATTTCCGCCCGTCCCTAACGCCCTACAAAACGGCCCACGCCTGAAAAGGTCCCGGGACTACTTTGGGCAGTTTTGTAGGGCGTTTTCCATTGGGATACAGCCAAGTAGCCTTTGGAATTGCGCAACTTTTTTACCGCGAATCGCGGTAAAAAACCGCGTGACGGACGCGCATATTACAATACGCCTAGGTGTGAATGGGGCCTTAAGAGTCTTGACCTCAATGCTACTAAACCCAGAAGGTTCAAAAAACATCTAGTCCCCTATGAAAAGAAATCCCTCAAAAAGAAGATGGTCTGGTGAATAGATCACAATTAGTTAAGTAATATAACAAATTTAATGATTAATAAACACATAAAGATACCTATACAAAACATTTAAAAACATTAAAACAGCTTCCCTAAATCACCCAAGTGAAATGATGTGAATGTTCAGATATATAAATCTCCTAAAAAAGGGGGGGGGCAGGAAGTCTCTGGTGCAGGTACAATGAAGATATATCAAAAATAGACTAGCCGAACTGTACTCACGTTGTGTTTGTAACTCGTGGTGGAAATAGTACTTAATATGTCTCACAACGATATTTGCAAGTGGACTGTTTCACAACGTGGTATCCAATTGTAGCAATTTCCTTTTCAAAGGGATCCGCTTCAGTAGCGGAGCAGTGGTTCCTTTTGTTATGCTTCTTCCCCCGTCTGATTTATATCACTGTGTGGGATTGAGTTCCAATTTGAGGGAGAGAAGCCATAGGGAGAGTGTCCACTCGTGCGGCCGCACTGTGGGATGAAGTTTGATAAAGTCCTCTCGGCAGTGTGTTCAGTGACCTGGGGAGGAATAGGAACTGTGTATGTTACACTGACAGGGATTCACTCCCGTCTCCCGGTCTCGGCCACAGTGAGTACAATCTATTGCCGCTGTGCTCAGGCAAAGACCGCATCGAGGTTGTCCAATCCACTGAACTCGGCAGCTGCACAGATCCCCTGTCCTGCTTTCACTCGAACATTAAGTGATCCATAATGGGTGTTTCTGGGAAGCTGGACTAGATTTTTTTTGAATAGTCTATTTGAAACCCTGAATTTTGGTCAAATACACATATATATATATATATATATATAGTATTGTCTTATTTAGCGTTAGACTCCTTTTTTGTCCCCTTGCCTTTCTAAACCCAGAAGGTGTTGAGTAGGGCTGAGGTGAAGTAATACTCACAAAAGTGAATAGAAATAGTCTTATATGACCGAGCATGGAGCTCTAACATCAAACCAGGATAAAAGCATGTGACAGCTGCAAAGTCGTTCCTGTGTGCCAGCAAGGGATGCCTGTGATGATGTGTTTCCGGGGTCACGACCCCTTCATCAGAATCAGTTTCTGGGAATTGCTAAAATATAAGACCTAGTTGTGACCATTCCCAGGGCCGGTGGTGGCATAAGGGGGAACTTGAAGAGCTGCGGGAGAGAATCAGTGGTGCCAGCGATAGAGGAAGCAAGGCGGCTGCGGAGGGAGCAGAGCCGCATAAGCCAATGCTTCCTCTATGGCGCCGGCTCCTGTCACAAGCGGAGTAATACGAAATGCACTCCACCTGTGAAAAGCGCGTTTCGCTCATTCCGGTCCAGCGATTGGTTACCAAATTGCTCTTGGAAAGGTACGGCACCTCTGATTCCACTGATCACCCTATTCTTAACTATGCCATTTTGGATGATTTAATTTGGTTTGTTGTACATTTAAAAATAAGACAAGTCTTATTTTCGAGAAAACACTCTAAATGTGAAACTGCAACAGGGCTGTGCTCTTTTGCAGAGCTTTGTAAATCTAGGGCTGCAACAACTAATCGACATAATCGA